ATACTTTCCTACCTTTTCGCGCACCTGCATCTTCTTTCTTCTGACTCTTTCTCTTCTCTGATCTTCTCTCTGCTGCTCTTCTCTTCTCTTCTTTGCCTCTTACCACCTCTGCTTTTCATCTGTCCATATTGTCGGAAGTTTGACTTCTAAACTTCCTTCGATTAATATGACTTCAAGTCTTTGCAACCAAGTCTAAAGATTGTTCAAGACCGTTTTGAAACATGGTTCTGAATGAGAAAGATGTTCTAGAGCTCGATGGTGCAACTTTCAATACCAATGCCATTGATGTTTTTGGATATTGCAACCTATTTCGATAGATGATAGCAAGGAAAACAAATTGTACAAATGATCTGGCTGACTTGCAAATTAGCGCCCACCATGGGTGGTCACTGCATGAGAGTGCCCGCTGAATGTGAAATTGTGGGACTGGGAGTGTTCCAAGTCAGAAGCACATCGAAGTTATTCAATCAGTCTCAACCAACATTGGATGCACATCAAGATCTTCATTCTAAGAGTGGAAATGATAGAGGGCAAATAGCCACATGTCATGTTGCTGCGTCAAAGTGAATGTAGCCAAGAAACACAGGATGCTTATGTAGTCACTAATTGGGGTATTGACGTAACCGAAATCTGTGCAAACTCTGGGTACGTGGGCCATGAAAATCATGGATTGTTGACTCCCTAGTCCCCCGCCATCCTAAACTACCCAGCCATTCTGCCAGGCGATGTCCTGCCAGGCAAGCCGTCAGGCGTTCTGCCCCCTCCGGATGGTCATCCGCCTACAGAGCCCATGGCCAGATCTGTCTACACCCACATCCCAAAAACCAAAACGATGCACGGTGCACGTGTTCTTTCTCCGACTTTGGATTCAGGTACCCAGGTAACTGTGTCCTTCAACCCCTGCGAGGCCTCATTCACCTCATGCGTAGGCAGCATTGGCTCCACACATGCCAAAGCAAGCCGAGGTCGAGTTCGCTTCACATCGAAGCGCTCCCATGGCATGGTTTCTCGGCGACTCTCTGTGTGGATCTGCCTTGCAGTGCCATACAAACACTTTGAATGTGCCAGGGCTAGGAGGGTAGGCAACCCGGCGCAATTTTTGTTTTCACTGGGGAGTTTAAATATGTTTAAATCCATGTCCGCATAAATGAGTCTCACACATCTTGCAGTCTCATAGACTTGCGCAATTTTGGTCACACTGTTCTACCTCTACCTCTTTAAGGTGTCAGGGCAAAAATGCAGCGGTGTGATGAAAGTGGCAGTTTGAATCTTGATAATTTCCCTCAAGCTGGTATTCTGTTGGAGCTGGATTATATTATATTATATCATATTATATTATATTGTATTGTATTATATTATATTGTATTATATATTGTATATGTGTAATATAATATATATATACATACACACATGTAATATAATATATATATATATACACGTAATACATGTAATATAATCTATGTATATATATATGTAATAATATATATATATGTAATAATGTATATATATATAATATATGTAATATTTATGTAATAATTATAATATAATATGTAATATATTCTGAGCCTGCCTGGCAAAAGAAACATCTACCTCGTTCTCATGGGCAGTAACACCTGGGTATTGTTTCAAGATTGACAGCTGGGTTTGAAGCATTCATTTCTGGGGGTACCCTCTTGTTGATCCATGCAAAGCAAAGAACATCTATGAAAATGCAACTCCTGATCGAAAAGAAGAGGAAAACTGTAGCTACCTTGTTGGATCTCATCTCTGGCCACAAAGACAATGGTTAGCGCATGTTCGCACCCGTTGTGAATGCTTGGCTAATGGCGGGGGTCCCAAGTCATGGTTCCCATACCGTTGCCATGAAAAATGGTGATGTCGCAGGTGGTTTAATATACCCATTTAACCCCCGTTAAATCACCAATAAATGGTATCCCTGCCATTATCCAAAAAAACAGAATACTCCATGTCGTTTAGTATCGCTTACTATATCCCATCATTATCCCCATCAGTATCTCATCATTATATCACCATTACTTCCTCCTTTATGGCCACTGCTGGATGATTCCAAGTCGGCCCAAAAGTATCGGAAGCGCCTCGGGCCCGTATGGGCGAAGCTTCGGTCGTTTGGAACGATCCTTCTGGCGAACCTCGGGCATTAAAAAACAGGGCATCAACAGCAGGTATCCAATCACTATCTAATGGGAACCCCACCCGTCAGCGTACCAAAAACGAACTTAGACTATAATATAAAGAGTCACTGGCAATAAAAACCTTGGCATCGCGAATGTCACGTGGCACGTCGACGGCACTATGTTCCATCCCCGCTGCCCAAACAAAAGATTATATTGCTGGTTTGTCACTTTTTGGCATGTGGTACCCCCCGTTTTGTGGGATGATAGTTCATCCCCCCATGTTTGATGGTTAATCCCTGATTGTGATCGTTTTGGACGGATAGTTTATGGCGGCGGCGCCCCTCGAGGGGCGGGACTGTTGTCACTTTTGCAAATGGCGTGCTTTGGGGGGGTTGAAGGGCGGTTTGGGGGGGTGCAATAACGTTCTTTCGTCTGCGTTTCAAAGGCGCTGCAACATTGCTACGTTGCAACACCTTCTTCAACGATCTTCAAGTAACTTCCAAGACGCTCTTGATACGTCGTAACGTCTTCTTCAAGTAGCTTCCAAGACGCTCCTGATATGTCGTAACATTTTCTTCAAGTAGCTTCCAAGACGCTCTTGATACGTCGTAACGTCTTCTTCAAGTAGCTTCCAAGACGCTCTTGATACGTCGTAACGTCTTCTTCTAGGAACTTCCAAGACGCTCTTGATACGTCGTAACATCTTCTTCAAGCAACTTCCAAGACGCTCTTGATACGTCGTAACATCTTCTTCTAGTAACTTCCAAGACGCTCTTGATACGTCGTAACATCTTCTTCAAGTAACTTCCAAGACGCTCTTGAAACGTCGTAACATCTTCTTCAAGTAACTTCCAAGACGCTCTTGATACATCATTGCATCTTCTTCAAGTAACTTCCAAGACGCTCTTGATACGTCGTAACATTTTCTTCAAGTAACTTCCAAGACGCTCTTGATACGTCGTAACATCTTCTTCTAGTAACTTCCAAGACGCTCTTGATACGTCGTAACATCTTCTTCAAGTCACCTCCAAGACGCTCTTGATACGTTGTAACATCTTCGTCACTGACCGAACCTGGGATCATATGAAGTCATACATCCCACGCAACCTTTCTTCCAGGAAATTAAACGCACACGGAACAACAGCTGCGCTGATGAGACACTGCCCAATATGGCAATGGTCGCATGAAGTCTTGGCTCCTGGCTACTCTATGGATCAGTTGGCCAAGCTTTTAAAAAAACACAACAACAAAGTTGGACGGTGGCGTCTCGCATGATGGAAAAAAGGCTGTCGAATCATCACTTTGAAAAGTGCTGAAAGCGCCGCACCTCCACAGGCGCCGTAACCTAGTTTATCCCCCCCATGTTTGAAGGTGAAATCATGGTTTTTTCTTTCCATGTTTCTCCCGTCATTTTTGGCCACTTCAAATCCCCTCCAGTGGCCGGCTGGTGCCCGCGCCTGCTCCATTCGCCTTTGCTTGGCCGTGGCATCCATCGGACGCTCGGCGCCTGGAAATTTCCACAGAACGCGAACTCTGTTGGCGCTTCAAGGGATCCTGTCTGGAAACGGGGTACAATGGGTACAACACGTGATTTCTTGAAATGTATTGCGATTTCAATGGGAATTCGATGGGATTCATGTGATTTATTGCGATTGAACTAAGATTTGTTGGGATGTATGATATGTATGATAATCTAATGGGGTTCATATCCCAGCATTGAATCAAGATCTGTTGGGAAGAAATGTGGTTCCCTGTGATTTCTTCCCGTAAGCAAACCCAATGATTGTAGGAACAATTATGCATTAGGCATCATTAGGCTACTGTAGTATAATTGTAGGGATAATATCACCAGCGATACTGGGCTGAGAATATTCCACTGGGTAAAGCATCCCCATGACATGAAATTATACAACCGAAAACCCAACAATGAGATACAATGATTAATCATATTATTTACAGTATTGGAAATAACAAGCAGAATCAACTCTGATAGGGGATATTGAATGATATTGATATCAATATTTGTGGGATCATCGGATCATCGTTTGAAAACCAGCACAAACCTTCAGCTTTCAGAAATCAAGGGGACTACAAATGGCCTGGACTACAACTGGCTGGTCTATTCCGGAATTCCTCCAACTTTGGGGCCACCAGTTGAGATGTCAGCCATCCCCCAACTGGTTTTTTGTTGACGCCCAAAATCTGCTCGGAAGAGGTCGGAAGCCACCTGAGAGGCACCTCTCAGAGATGTAGGCAAACTGTCTGACCTCAGGATCTGACATGAGTTGGGGATCAACATGACCCAGAATAGATGGTCTAAGAGGTCTAATCCCAAACATGACCAAGACCTTTTTTGACATACCCGTTTTGGATGATTTTTTAGCAAGGTCTCATCATCTCATCCCTCTTCCCCCGTTAGGTGCGACTGTTTTCTGATGGCATCATGGGGTGGCGTCTGGGTAGTTGAAAGCCCTTTTATACTGGGTACCCTTTGGTACTCAAACATGGCTTCCAGATCTCTGGTATCTCGGGACCCCGGAGGAGCCCGGAGGACCCGGATCCTCCAAAACGGCCCAGACGAAGAAGAACAGGAAAGGGTCATCCATCAGCAGATCCTGATGCAAAAAAAAAACGAATTTCGCCAGCAGCTGTAGCTGTGCCAATTTTGGGATCTGTCAAATCTGGAGAAAAAATCACAGGAATTGGATGAAAGCCCCTATAAATGCTCATCCATGGCAGGTTCGTTGTGGATTCCACACCTGTCCGTCTCATCAAATCTAGGCTTCCGGCCAGGCCAGGTGTATCCTCGGAACAGTTCTAGCAATCTGAAACCAGACTGGCCTTCAGCCAGGAATGTGAGAGGTGTTTTTTCCCAAGGGACCCAGTGGTTGTGCTCAATAGCTTGACCCACAGTGGGAGGAACCAATGGAAAAATGATGAAAAATGCCACCAGTCAACCTTCATTGAGTTCACCAAGTCAAAGCAAGTCACCAATTCTCCCCTTAGGTCAATAGCTACCAGTAGTTGCGTCAGCAGATCGACGTGAAAGCGAGCTTTTGTTTGTGACACTTTGCGTGCTTTGGCGGACTTTCTGCGTCCGGAAAGAACCAAATACTGAGATTTCTTAAGGGGCAAGAGCAAGAAGTGCGTAAAGCGTTGCTTTGTTCTCACGTGTTGCAGCCCTCAGGGTCGCCAGGGTGAAGAGGAGGTTGTTGATTCGATGGGCAAGCTGGCTCAAAGAAGAGCAAGCTCAAAGAATCAGTCACTTGAACAGGTCATTCAGTCATTCAATCATGCAGTCTTTTGCTGGCCCGTTCATAAACATTCAGCCAGCCAGTAAGTTACACATGTCATTTCCGTCTTACCTCAGCACCATGTTCGACAAAATTGCATGGAATTTGTCGAACATGGTGCTGAGGCATACACCAAAAAGTATATGATCACCCCACCTGAACCTACCTACCTACCTACCTAGCATAATTTTTGGTGCTATTCACAGTAACTAAACATGTATATAGATAGATAGATAGATAGATAGATAGATAGATAGATAAGTATATGATCACCCCACCTGAACCTACCTACCTACCTACCTAGCATAATTTTTGGTGCTATTCACAGTAACTAAACATGTATATAGATAGATAGATAGATAGATAGATAGATAGATAGATAGATAGATAGATAGATAGGTAGATAGATAAATTAGATAGATAGCTTAGATAGATTAGATAGATTAGATAGATTAGATAGCTTAGATAGCTTAGATAGATTAGATAGATTAGATAGATTAGATAGATTAGATAGATTAGATAGATTAGATAGATAGATAGATAGATAGATAGATAGATAGATAGATAGATAGACATATCAAACCTCATATTGGAGGGATGATGATCAATTTTGAGGACCGGTCATCTAAGGTGATCATCCCACTTAAAAAAAGAAGCCATCTGAGGACTTTGCTCCTTCGCACTCCTTCGACTCGTTCGCGTCTCCTTGGGAGGGCCGAACTTCTTTGGCGAGAGCTGCCAAGGCCTGGCGGATGGAAATGGAAGCCGTCTGCCCTCAAGTTTTGACAAATCCTGGTTGACAATACGTGTATGTATATATATATATGTATAGTTTGACTATGGTAAATGGAGAAACGATCAGATGGTTGATATATCAAATATATCAGATATACGATGGTTTAACTTTGGTCCGTGAGACACATCTCTACTTTTACTGGCACCTATGCAATCTATGCGCATGCTACCTTACGATGGTCAATTCAATCCTTACGATTCATTGGATGTCCATACTGACGGCTTGATCACCTGTGCTACCCTCCTTGCTCTGAGAGTCTCCCAGTTTTCCTGGTAAGACTAGCCTTTGGTAATTTAACATAGCTATTGAAAATGGCCATTTATAGTGAGTTTTCCCATTAAAAATTGTGATTTCCAATAGCTATGTTAGTTTACCAGAGGGTACCCCCAGTTAGGATAGGTATCTTACCATACTCAACTGCCACAGCCATGCCCCGCCTCCACGGTCGATACACAGCCTGGTGATTTGGTGAGCTAGAGAATGGTGTGTTCCAAACCCGAGGTTTGTCATTCCATTGCAGTGGTTGGTTAAGAATGGGATTCCCAGTTCACGGATGATCAATATATTGGATAATATATCCCCAAAACAAATTATCAATGCAACTGCTCCTTTCAGAAAAATAGAATCTGGTGGCCGAAGGAACATGGCCATGTTTGCTCTGTTCTGTTTTGGGACATCCAGATGGTCACTTGGTGGTTTGTTTAAAAGAATAAAAATAAAACTCCACTGGTCATGTATGCATGCCGCATGCATGCATGCATGGATGTATGTGTACAGAGATAAATTGGAAAGAGAGAGAGAGAGAGGGAGGGAGAAAGAGAGCTGGAAAACGGAAACAAATACTGTAGAAAGAAAAACAATCTTGCCTTTGCATATACAGATGTAATTAAATCAAATCTGTATATAAAATGTTCGTATACCTGTCTGATAAAGACTTATTTATATTGCTGTATATGAATATGTTTGTAAATATGCATAAATATGTGCATATCTATATGTCACTATGTGTATCTATTTATGTATATGTGATGCATGTATGTAAATATCTCAATATTACATATGTATGTAATTATATATATATACACGTATACACTTACTATGATGTGTGTTGATCCAGTCAAATAAAGTCTATGTTTGTGTAGAAAAATGATGTATACATATCTCATACCGGTGGAGGACCTGGCCCTGATCATGTCTAAAAATCGATCTCTTCATACATTTAGTATAGTAACATATAGTAACCCCCAGACAATTTGTCAGTTTAAACTTCAATTTATCAGGATTTTCATGGATTTTCCTACAAAATTGACCATTTTCTCATGGTAACTTGGGGGTTGCAACCAGTGGTAACCTGATCATTGGAGGTCAGCCAGCAACCTGGCCTGTTCCCTCTGAATGATACCGCCAGAACCGCGAGGACGGTGGATGGCCCAAGCGAATCTCGGTCGCGATAATCAGATTTTGGGAAATGCGCAATGGTGAATCAAGAATTTTTGAATCATCAAATCAATATAAATCATTTTTTTCTATGGTAAATGGATAAAACATGGATGAACTATATCTTGTTTTGGTTTATCTTTGGAAAATCATGGAAAGTCTCTAATCCCCCAGGAGTTGGGCGCTGGGCTGACTGCAGATTCGCCAGCCGCGGATGTTTCCGAAGCACCTGCGCTGCAAAAAAAAACTGTTTTTCACATCTACTTGGTATGATTGATGAGTTTGGATGGATGTTCATTCCCCTAAAAAAAATGGGAAAAAATAAAGGAAAAATGACCCATCGCTGGGTTTGGGCCAAAATCTACGACCCGGGCAAGTCACAAAATTGGGTCACTTTGGTCGCATCCGCCGGCCAATTTGATACTCGAGGTCTGATCTGGCGCCTTGGAATCTGACCTCAATAAACTACCACTTTCCAGTATACTTAATTTGTTCCAATTGTTGCGTATACATCTGTATCTGTATATTCATATTCATATTACACATACATACATACATACATACATACATACATACAGACATACAGACATACAGACATACAGACATACAGACATACAGACATACAGACATACAGACATACACACATACAGACATACAGACATACAGACATCCAGAATAACAGACATACAAATACAACATTCAAAATCCAAATAAAAAAAACTACCTATCATACCTACATCCTACATACCTACATACCTACTACCTACAGTCCTACATACCTAACATACCTACAAACTACATACCTACATCCTACATAACCTCATCCTACCTACCTACCTACCATCCATGCATACATCATACATACTACATACATTAACATAACATCATACATACATACCTACATCATTCAATTGCATTGCATTGCATTGCATTGCATTGCTTGCATTGCATTGCATTGCATTGCAATACATTGCCATCGTACGTAGTTGTAATGTATGTATGTATGTATGCATGTATGTACGTATGTATGTATGTATGTATGTATGTAGTGTATGTATGTATGTATGTATGTATGTATGTATGTATGTATGTATGTATGTATGTGATTATGTATGTGATTATGTATGTCCTGTAATGTCTGTATGTCTGTATGTATGTATGTCTGTATGTCTGTATGTCTGTATGTCTGTATGTCTGTATGTCTGTATGTCTGTATGTCTGAATGTCTGTATGTCTGTATGTCTGTATGTCTGTATGTCTGTATGTCTGTATGTCTGTATGTATGTATGTCTGTATGTGTCTGTATGTATGTCTGTATGTCTGTATGTCTGTATGTCTGTATGTCTGTATGTCTGTATGTTTGTATGTCTGTATGTCTGTATGTCTGTATGTCTGTATGTCTGTATGTCTGTATGTCTGTATGTCTGTATGCCTGTATGTCTGTCTGTCTGTATGTCTGTATGTCTGTATGTCTGTATGTCTGTATGTCTGTATGATTCTGTATGTCTGTATGTATGTATGTATGTATGTGTGTGTGTGTCTGTATGTATGTGTGTGTGTGTGTCTGTATGTACGTATGTCATATGTACGTATGTACGTATGTACGTAGGTACGTAGGTACGTACGTACGTACGTACGTATGTATGTATGTATGTGCGTATGTGTGTGTATGTATGTATGGATGTATGGATGTATGCATGCATGCATTGATGTATGTGCGTATGTGTGTGTATGTATGTATGGATGTATGCATGCATGCATGCATGGATGTATGTGTGTATGTGTATGTGTGTATGTGTGTATGTATGTATGTATGTATGTATGTATCTATCTATCTATCTATCGATCTATCCATCGATCTATCTATCTATCTATGTATCTCTGTATCTCTGCATCTATGTCTCTATGTATCTATGTATCTATGTATCTATGTATCTACGTATCTACGTATCTACGTATGTGTGCGTATGTGTGCGTATGTGTGCGTATGTGTGCGTATGTGTGCGTATGTGTGCGTATGTGTGCGTATGTGTGCGTATGCGTGCGTATGCGTGCGTATGCGTGCGTATGCGTGCGTATGCGTGCGTATGCGTGCGTATGTGTGCGTATGTGTGCGTATGTGTGCGTATGTGTGCGTATGTGTGCGTATATTAGATGGATTTAACTTCCAAGTTATACTTATTTATACACCAGTATTTCCACATGTGTGCGTATGTGCGCGTATGTGTGCGTATGTGTGCGTATGTGTGCGTATGTGTGCGTATGTGTGCGTATGTGTGCGTATGTGTGCGTATGTGTGCGTATGTGTGCGTATGTGTGCGTATCTGTGCGTAATTGTGCGTATGTGTGCGTATGTGTTTGTCATGTGTGCTATTGTGCGTATGTGTGCGTATGTGTGCGTATGTGTGTGCGTATGTGTGCGTATGTGTGCGTATGTGTGCGTATGTGTGCGTATGTGTGCGTATGTGTGCGTATGTGTGCGTATGCGTGCGTATGCGTGCGTATGCGTGCGTATGCGTGCGTATGCGTGCGTATGCGTGCGTATGTGTGCGTATGTGTGCGTATGTGTGCGTATGTGTGCGTATGTGTGCGTATATTAGATGGATTTAACTTCCAAGTTATACTTATTTATACACCAGTATTTCCACATGTGTGCGTATGTGCGCGTATGTGTGCGTATGTGTGCGTATGTGTGCGTATGTGTGCGTATGTGTGCGTATGTGTGCGTATGTGTGCGTATGTGTGCGTATGTGTGCGTATGTGTGCGTATATTAGATGGATTTAACTTCCAAGTTATACTTATTTATACACCAGTATTTACACATGTGTGCGTATGTGTGCGTATGTGTGCGTATGTGTGCGTATGTGTGCGTATGTGTGCGTATGTGTGCGTATGTGTGCGTATGTGTGCGTATGTGTGTGTATGTGTGCGTATGTGTGCGTATGTGTGCGTATGTGTGCGTATGTGTGCGTATGCGTGCGTATGTGTGCGTACGTGTGCGTATGTGTGCGTACGTGTGCCTACGTACGTACGTACGTACGTATGTCTGTATGTCTGTATGTCTGTATGTCTGTATGTCTGTCTGTCTGTCTGTCTGTCTGTATGTATGTATGTATGTATGTATGTGTGTGTGTCTGTATGTATGTATGTATGTATGTATGGATGTATGCATGTATGTCTGTATGTATGTATGTATGTAATGTATGTAATGTATGTAATGTATGTAATGTATGTAATGTATGTAATGTATGTAATGTATGTAATGTATGG